GAGGCCTCCAAATGCGCCATGGCTGGTCACAAACACAAAACCTTAGCTTTGCAAGAGCAATCATAACTCTCTATTTTCTTCATGAAATTCAATGATCCAAAAGATCAAACTTACTCAGAATTTCACAAGGCACACAATGGCATAATTGGTTTTTGCTAAAAGTGCTTCTATCTCAAAACCCGATAGCAACATCAAAATGAAATTCATTTTGCAATTTAAATATTATGGACTTATTCAAACATGATAAGAATAAATAAATGGTTCATACACAACACATACAATATACCAAACATATCTATGATCAATGTACATCAAAGCACTACATGGTTTGAAAGTTTCAAGTTCAAGTGAAACTTACCTCTTGGAGCTAACTTGGAATCTTCAAGATAGATACTTCCAAGAGTAATTTGTTGATTTGAACAACTTCAATACAACTCTAAGAACCTCTTTGAATGCTTGGAATCAAGTTGAATCCCTTAGAGCAAAATACCCATTCTTCTTGCAAAAATGGAAAAATGGCCAATATGAAACTTCAAGTAAATGAAGTTGCAGATGGAAAACCAAGTTTAGAACAATTTAAGGGTGATTTATGGAAGGTGTTTGAAGTGTTTGAAGGTTTGGAAATGATTAGAATGAGGAATTAGCTTTGAAAATGCATAAATTCAAAGATTTGGTGGTTTGAGAGTTGACTTTCTGTTCTACCAGGTCTGGGATGGTTGTGATGGTTTGAACACCTCTAACACATGTTTTGTGATGTGTTAGAATGATTTTTTTGGTGGTTTAGTGCTTGGAAGAGGTTTTGAGGAGTTTTGTGCAAAGTGATGGTTTTTGGCACAAGTGGTGTTTTGCTTGCAAAATGCTAGTTCAAGAGTGTATTCTCTGGTTTTAGACATTTTCCCCCCTTCTTTTTCTGACATAATTAAACCTCTATTTATAGGGCAAGGTTGGAAACATAATGTGCAACTTATTGGTTCCATGGTTTGGTTGAAATCCAACTTGGTGGTTTTGATAGTTCTCATGGTTCCAAGGTAAGGTACAAGAGTATCTTGAGTGGTTGAGATCTTTCTGGATTTGGAAAAGTGCTTGAGTGCAGAGATGACAGTTTAAAGGCTCAAGAAACTGATTTTTTTGGAAAGGTCAGGCCTTATGCAAATGGAGGTCACACGTTTATGCCAAAACTTCCATAAATGGTATGAAACTTGAATCAAGCTTCAAACCTTTGTGTAATGACTTCAAAAATAGTAAAATCTTCTAATTATAGGTATATATGCAAGTTTCAAGGTTGTCCATAAAAGGATATTGCAGGTTTTGATGTTTTTGCAACTTGTCTTGGCATGAAAATGACTTAGAAATCAGGTTTTGGATCCCAACTTCTTCTCTTCGAAACTCCTAGCTCACAAATGATATGAAGGATTTCTTGTACTTTTTGGAAATCCCTAAACATGCTCTACAAATTTCATTTTTTAAAAATTGATTTAATCTCAAGGGATCATGGTGAAAATTGACCTTGAAGTTGACTGAAAATTGGAGTAACAAAGATGTCTTGAAAAATCTAAGCATTTTTCCAAACTTTGAAGCTTCATAACTCAAAATCTAAGCATTTTTTGCTCATAGGTCACTAGGAAACTTTTGCAGTACATGAGGAGATATACACATTGATCTTTGGAACTCACAAAATGGATGTGTGGATTGGAAGTTATGGCCTTTCAAAGTTGGCACCAAAATTAGGGTTTTTCCACACTTAGAAAAATTTCAAGTTGTCTAAGTTTTCTTCTTTTGCAAGAAACCTCTCAAATCTTAATTTCTCATGATCAAACTTATTTTTTGAAAATATCTTAATGAAATTTGGCTTGGATGCTCCAATTTGAACCAAAAACCCTAATAGTCAAAGAGTTGACTTTGTTAGATGAATTGTGAACAGATGAATTCAACTATGTGATTTTCAATGAAATTGCCACTTAGGACTTCTCAAACACCATGAGTAGGATTCAAGGATGTGTATGAACATACAGAATCATTACCCAAGGCTTGGAATCATGCTTGGGTCAAAATTCAAAGGCACAGTTGACTTTCCCTAACAAAACCCTAATTTGGGGCCAGGTGAAATTGGGCTTCAATTGACTTGTAGTGGGATCAATTAACACTCGATTCTTGTTGAGTATGAGATTATTGAATGTATGGGGAATTGATTTGATTATGATAAATCCAAAACATTGACTGATCAAGCAATAATCACCTTGATTCCACATGTACAAAACCCTAATTCAGATGAATTTAGCAACAACAAACTTGAAACAAGGTTAGGGTTAGGAAACAATGCTTAATGCTCCTAGAATGGTAATGGAACATAGGGGTCAAAATTTGGGGTATGACATTAATTAAACTATTTAAACTAAAATAACCGTATACAACTACTTAAACCTAGAGTCCAATACTTTTAAGTAGGTTGAGAAGCTTGTGAGCTTTGACCAATTTTTGTTTGTTTTTCTTTAGACTTAGCCTTCACTTTTTTAGAATTCACTTTCTTATAATTCTTTAATTTATTACCACCATTTAGAATAGCCCTATATGTGGCTCTTTTCCCCTTACAGCTCCTCTTGTTATGCCCCAAAGCAACACATTTTTCACATGTGACAATTGAAAACGTCTTTGGAAGTATGTGAGGATTTCTATGTTCATCATTTATTTTGTTCCTCTTTTTTTAGCCTTCCAATGGCTCTTCTCATCACAGGTGGTGCCGCTATATTATGATCAGCTACAGGCCACAATTATGGTCCACTGGTTGGATACACAAGGTAGGAGTAAGTTTCCATAAATGTTGATTTCCTGTGTAAAACAAAATCCAACCATAACAGTCAATAATTTATATAATAACAATCAACATAAGTAGTAGATAGATATAGTACATAAGTCAAACCTATAACATGCAACAACATAATCCCCAGGTTGTTTCTTGATGTTCCATATGCATGGCAACAAGGTATACCAGACAATTCCCACTTCCCACATGAGTAAGTTTCCTTCTTCAAATCAAGATAATAAGCATCAATGCCATTGTTGACACCAAATATGGATAGGTCATCATCACCATGCCATGTAGGACTCCACCCTTGTGCTTGCTTCTTATTCTTATCAAGTACCAACTGAATTTTAGGGCATATCGATCATGTGTAGCCTTATAACAACTCCTTATGACTTGCAATCCTCTTAGTGATGTATTTTTGATGCCTTCTAATAAGGTGATAATAGGCTTCTCCTTGTGCCTCTTCTTTGATTGCCTTCATTTTTAGCATTTCCTTTTCCCAAGTAGGAATTGTTGTTGCCCAAAGTACTTCCTTGAGTTCCAACCTAAGGGGTCTCTTCTTCCAGTTTCCATGCAAATGCTTAACATACAGTATGCACTCCAAATTAGCACTAATGCCTTGAACAGCTGAAACAAGTCCCTATGACAACTGAAAAACTATAAGTGAAAAACAAATGATAAATACTAAAACTGTAAGTGTAAAAACAAATGGCAATTGATAAAACTGTAAGTGTAAATGATTACCTTTTGTTGATCTTATATAAATGAATAGGACCTCTGATTGTAACTTTCAAAATCATACAGAAGAAGGTCTAAAAACCATTGCCATGATTCTTTTCTTTTAGTTTCTACTACAACATATGTTATTGAAAAAATATGGTTATTACCACCCCTCCCTATTGCTGACATTAACTGTCCACCATAATCTCCTTTTAAGAAGAATGCATCTAACCCAATAAGTGGCCTACATGTCTTTGCAAACCCTTCCTTGTAAGCCTCTAAACAAACATAAATTCTTTCAAATACATGGTTGCCATTACTATTAATACATTATATTATAACAATACTATTAGGATTTAATTTCAATATCTCATGTCCATAAGACCTCAAATGAGAGAATTGCTCAATACCATCCCCATGAACCAACTCCACTGCTTTCCTTTTGGCCCTATATTCTTGGTCATGGGATAGTTTCACTCCCCATTTCTCAATAGCTTCAGCTATGAAGCCTGCTGGTTTCATATGAGGACTATGTCTAAGAGTTGTGGCAAACCACTTTGTCTTTGAACTTATATTAGAAGCAGTTATGTGACATGTATGTTCTTAAATCAAACTCACAATTTTCCAAAATTGGTGACCAAATCTTTTACTAAATCTCATATAGAAGTTACATCCATCAGTGCATTCACCACAATCCTTTTGGTGTCATTTTTATTAATGAATACATTCTTATGATTTTCCATCCCACAGTCCTTTATTGCATCCCTAATCACTTATTTGTTAGTAAGCATCATCCCTAGTTGAAATTTCATCCCCTCACCAAATTTATATGTACGATACTTCAGTCCCTCCTTATCATCACTCCCAGGGGATATATATAAATGGTTTGAGTCCTCACTTTCATCGTGGACCATCTCAGCCTGATCTACCTTTTTTTGGAAGCTAGAAACCTCACCTAATATCTCTTGTGGAAGAACCTAAGTCCAGTTCATCTTACTCACATATGAGTCTTTACTAAAATAGAACTCACGATCCTCAAAACTACTCTCACTTGCAATATAATCCTCATCAATGTTATTTGCTCCAACCTCATCAACATTAATATCTCCTACAACTACATCATAATTGTCATGAACACATCATTATCTCCTACAAGTTCATCATTGTTGTCATGAACAACATCATTATCTCCTATAGTTTCATCATTGTTATCATGTACAACATCATTATTTCCTATAGCTTCATCATTGTTATCATGAACAACATCATTATTTCCTACAACTTCATCATTGTTATCATTATTAACATCATTGTTAGCATCATCAATGTTAACATCATCCATAATATCAGGAACTTCCACTTGATGCTCAACATATAAGTCTACTATATCATATCCTTCAATATCTTTTGAAAATTACAAAACATCATGATCATTGTTCAAGGGTCTAAGACCACGAGCAAAACTATATGCTATGTTTCAATACCAAATACACTTAATATTGACATAACCCTCATTCTTAATGATATCCTGTATATTCATGTACGACATATAATCGACATCCCAACTATGTTTCAACTCAGTCATTACCCCAGTAACACACCACTTAATAGGTTGTTCAACTAGTTGTCCCCTATGATGTATCCTTAACCTAACCTTATTAGTCTTAGCTGGCCTGAAAAAGAATTGAAAAATACAGTTTCAATTTAACACAAACGAACAAACAGGACCACAAGTATACTTAAACAACATTAAACTAATAGGACCACAAGAACACATAAACAACCCAAAAACATATGGACAAAGAAACCCTAAACTAAACTTAGGGACCACAAGTACGCATAAACATTGGGACAAAAAAAAATACCTCACACAGTATTTGACCTCTTCATTTCTCTTCTTTTGATGTCCTGACTTCGTCATCTTCAATGAATCACAAGCACTGACAAAACCCACGATCTTGATTTCAAGGCGTCTGGACACAATTGTGATTTCACAAGAAGAACGAAAATAGGGTTACTGGATAGAAGGAAAATTAGGGTTATGGGGAAGAAGTTGATTACAAGTGAAACAATCGCAGACTAGTTGGGATTATAATCTATAATTTTTAAACAATTAATATATAATTATATTTAATTAAAAAATGATTTATGTATTTTGTAAATTAAGTTATTTAGTTTAATATTAAAATAATAACATTTGATGACATAAAATTCATATATTAGTTTCACCTCACTAAAAAACATGACACATCATTAATATTGAACAAAGAACAAGTAAGCAAAGTGCTTCTAACTTAACGGACCATAATTGTAGGTTTTATAATAAAGGATACATTGTTTAAATTGTCCAAATTAAAATGATTAAAAATGTATTTAAGCCTTTTAAAAATATATAACTCTTATTTATAATTGTTTTCAGAATTCTTCATCACGTTTATTTGTAACCGACTAAAATGCTGAAAATTTATTTTAAAATTAAATTAAATGAAAAAATATAATATTAAAAGATATAAATAGGAGAAATTAGGGTTTAGTGTTGATGACCTTATCCAATTGCAGCAAGAGATTCGTCTAAAATTAAAATTGAAAAAGAATATGAGAAATAATTGGAGTTATAATTAATGTCCTCATAAAAGAAAGAAAAAAAACTCACGAGTCAAAGCTCTTTTGATTGAAGGAATTTTTTTGCCATAAAATGAGTGCATCTTAAAATGAGCGGTAGCAAAGTGTTTTTATGCTAAAATTACATGTAATTCATCTCTTCTTACAAATCAAATATTGCATCAGTTTTTTTGATTATTTATAAGAAAAAAATTACTTTTCTAAAAGTTAAAGAAATAAGAGCATCTAAGGATAGTTAATGCAATTTGGATGATTTGAACATAATCTTAAAACATTCTGTTCCGGTCTGGGCCCGACCTCGGCAGGCCCAATACCACGTACGACCCAACAGGCGAATCGGGCACGCCGGACACGTGCGTCCCGCGAGACGAGCAGAGCATGCCGCCGGACACAAGCAGCGCATCCGACAGCAGCTCGTCGTCCCTCTTACCAGCCGAACAGAACCGACCCCGGCGCGTCAAAGCGCGACCTTGGTTCCTCCCCTCCGCGGGAAGAACAACGCACTCCGGGGCACCTCGCGAGCTCCCCTCCGCGGGGAGAACAACGTGCCCGGTGCACGTTCTCCACGTGCTCCCCTCCGCGGGGACACGTCAGCAACCAACTGCCCACCTCCGAAAGAGCAGGTCAAATCCACTTTCCGGAGATCTAGGAGCGGTTGGACTAGGGCGAAGACCACGTCCTGGTCTTCACTACGCCACGTAAGCCCTAGCAGTCATTAGGGTTGGGCCTGGTCATCCAGTCCAGCTCAAATGACCGTTGGCCTAGCGCTGGGGTCTCTCTATAAATACCCTCTTCCTCAAGAGGGTCAGGTAATTCACATCTTGCCCCTTTCTGTACTTTTGCTCCCGCTCTGCCCAATTTCTTACTTTGGCATCGGAGTGTCTTGCAGGTACACCCCCTCCTCATCATCATCACCGGTGAACAGGTAGCAGCCCAACAGTGTGTGGCCAGACCGTGATCCCCTCCTGATCAGGTCAGATCAGTGGCGCCGTCTGTGGGAATCTGAAACTTCCCCGTTACTCCGAGCAGAAAACCAAAAGTTTCACCAAACATCCCCGATCATGGCTAGTCCACACCGCGACGGCACTCCACACGACCTCGTGCTCAACGTCGCCACCAATGGGAACAAGCAGACAGGAACGACGCGTCCGGCGGAAACCGACGAAAGGGACGGTCAAACTACTTCGCCGTCATCCGTGGAGCGGCCCCTTCAGGTCGACCTCCAGCCCCGAGCCCGCCAGCATTCCATCCCGGCGGGAGTGGACCCAACGGTGGCCGCTCTCTTTACGGCCATCAACCAGACGAACCAGCTGTTGTTCCAACAAAATGCGAGAATTGGGGCATTAGAACGCATCGGCCCTCCGAGGTACCCCCCGCGGGAAGACCAGAACGGAGGTTCGAGGAGCCCCTCACCTCGACCCAGAAACCGCCGGCCACGGCTGGAGAGACACCGCCCGCAGGTGGCACGAGAATGCACCAGATCCCCAGCAAGACACGTTCGCGTGAGGAACCAAAACACCGCGGTGATCCCGACCGAAGACCCCCGAGGCGAGAACTCAGGCAGGAGGTCGAGAACCCGAAACCAGGGGCTCACCTTGAACGACGCTTCTCCCCATCGATCCCCGGCGCACAGCGACGAAGACGATTACCGCACCCCGCTGTCCCGAGAAATCATGGCTGCCCCCATACCCCAAGGGATGGAGAAACCACCGACGCTGTCGACATACGACGGCACCTCCGACCCGGACGATCACCTAGAAGACATCGAGGCTATGCTCGACTACCGAAACGTCCGGGGAGCTATCAAATGCAGACTCTTCCCGACGACTCTGAGGAAAGGCGCTATGACCTGGTATAAAAGTCTGGAGCCCGAATCAGTTACGTCCTGGAGGGTCTTGAAGGACCTGTTCTCCAAACACTTTACGGCGTCCCGACGCCACCCGAAGACAGAAGCAGTCCTCGGGGCGATCATCCAAGGCCCCGACGAACCTCTCCGAAAATACATCGAAAGGTTCACTCGGGAAGCAGTGCAGGTGACGACGTCCGACGAAATGAAGCGCTACTTAATGGAACAAGGCCTGCGCCAGGACTCCAAGTTCTACGAGGCCGTAGGCATACACCGGCCAACATCCGATTCGAGGAAACACAGGCGGCCAACTCCGCTCGCGACACTCGAGACAGGGAGGCCCCCCGCGGGCACCGAGACGACGGAGCCTCGAGCCATCGACGAGGGGGAGACCGCCGTCGAGAAGATCGCCCCCGCGAACCCCGCGAACAACGCGAACCGCGCGGCCCGGCCGGCAGATTCACAGAATACACAGCCCTGGTCGCTTCACGCGAGCGCATACTGTCCGAATGCGCTAAAACCGAGTTCGTGCAGGGAGGTGTCCATTTTCCACGGCCAACACCCCCCAAACCCAACGTGGACAAGTCGAAATACTACCGATTCCACAGGAGCCACGGGCACGTGACAGAAGACTGCATCCATCTCAAAGATGCGATCGAAATTCTGATCAAAGACGGGCACCTGAAGCGATACACCCGAGGAGATGAACCATCTAGACCAGAGGCTCCAGAAGCCAAGAAAGTCGAGGAACTTCCCTCTCCAGAGGACAACAGCAGGCTCCAGGTCGCGTTGTGCGTCAGCCGCCCCGAAGATTGGTTCGCGGGCAGAGAATTCGGTATCCCCGAAGGGCCCGACCTAATCGACGAGCCAATCCGGCCAACCAGCCGGTGGGAATACTTCCCCAGAGCCATGGTCATCTCTGATGGTGCCACGAGGAGTCTGTCCATAGGATCCGTGAAAAGAAAATTCGACGAACTCATCGCGAACAACTCCGGCAAAATGAGCACGCTCGACAAATTCCGAGGCCGCTCCAACCCGATCACATTTTACCTCGAGGAACTCCCCGGGGGATCCCCCAATTCCAACATACCCTTGCTCATACGTGCCCGAATGGCAAACTTCGACGTCAAGCGCCTCCTCGTCGACGGCGGGAGCTCGGTTGACATCATGTACTCACACCTGTTCACAACTCTCCAGCTCGACGAATCCAACCTTTCTCCCTACGTAGGCTCCGACCTTCAGGGGTTCAACGGGACAACGACGAGACCTTGGGGATACGTGGAATTGAAAGTCACCTTTGGAGAAGAGGAAACAGCCAGGGACATCAGCATCCGTTTCTTAGTCATCGAATGCCCATCCCTCTATAACTGCATCCTGGGCAGGACGACGATAGCAGAACTCACCGCGGTACCCTCCACCGTCCACCTGAAGATGAAATACTACACAAGAAGGGGAGCCGTGGTGACCCTCAACGGAGACATCGAGGCCGCCCGAAGATGTTTCGAAGCCGCGCTGAAAGGCCTAGACTCCATCGCCCCAGCGACCAAGAAGAAAACGTCAAGCACGACGCCAAAGGGCGAACCAACGGAGATGGTCGGATCCGTTGAGCTCGACAGACGCTTCACCGGCGAACTCGACCACGAAACAAAGACCAGCGAAGTCAACGGGCAGCCCTCACACCCAGCGCGCCCCATCCCGGACGGAGAATTCGAACTTGTCCCCCTCGGGGAAGACACGCGCAGAACCGTGAGGATAGGCGCCGGACTCCCAGACCTCGCGAAACGACAGCTCCAAGCCTGCCTCCGCGAGAATGACGACCTCTTCGTCTGGAGCGCCGCGGAAATGCCGGGACTTGACCCCGAGGTCGCCTGCCACCAGCTGTCCATCAGCCCGACCGCAAAAGCCGTTGTGCAACGTCGGCATCGCCAATCCCCTGAAAAATCGGCAGCGGCCGAACAAGCTGTAAAAGACCTCTTAGAGGCAAACTTTATTTCGGAAGTCCGGTATTCAACCTGGCTGTCCAATGTTGTACTCGTTAAAAAGAATAATGGAAAATGGCGCATGTGTGTTGATTATACTGATCTCAATCGGGCATGTCCTAAGGACGCCTACCCCCTCCCCAACATCGACAAGCTTGTTGATAGCTCCGTGGGCTTCAAGCTATTGTCCTTCATGGACGCGTACTCAGGATACAATCAGATCCCGATGGCCGAACACGATAAACAAGCCACGACCTTCATGACGGCGTCGGGCAATTACTATTATAACGTGATGCCCTTCGGCCTCAAAAACGCCGGGGCCACATACCAGCGGATGATGAACCGCGTCTTCCATGACGAAATCGGAGACATGCTCGAAGTATACATGGACGACATGATCGTCAAATCCAGCACGGAGAACGACCACGCGGCACACCTCCGGAAGGTCTTCGAGACCGCAAGGTCATGCCGCAT